CTTCCTAGAGTTATGAGCCCGGGGCCTGACACAGGGCAGCTCCACAGCACCCAGCCCCTCCGTCAGGTCAGGGCGCCCCCAGACTGGGAGGCAGTGGTGGACGCAGGCAGGGTAGGGCGGGGCGGCTGGTGCTCACAGCCCTCACTGCAAACAAGGCGCACCCTCAGGAGGCCACCGTCCTGCCAACCCCGCTGTGACCCGGAGCTTCTCAGTGCAGCCCTGTCAGAACTCCGAGTGGGGCGATTCTTCGGGGTCTGTCCCACCCGTTCCAGGGTCTGAGTACCCTGCCTCCCCATCCACTGAATGCCCACAGCAGCCTCCCATCACTGTGACACGCAGAAACAGCCCCGCACCTTCACAAGCCCCCGGGAAGGCGGCCCCTGTGCCGAGAGCCGACCGCTGGGGTGGGGCACCGTCTCAGCAGCTGTTTCTGGGCCCGAGGAACATGAGACCAAATGATCTAGGACAACATCAGGGACACTGAGGTCTTGGGATGAAGGGTCCCAGAAGCCAAGGCAGATCTGGATGAGGGGGACTGAGTGTGGGAGGAAAAGACTCCCCACCCCTCCCCCAAAAAGCAACATGGCTTAGGAGCCAGAAAGGCCTAGAGAGGTGGGCGGAGCCGGGCCTGGGAGAAGTTCAGCGTCCTTCACCTGAACCCACAGTGTCGTCCAGAAAGGTAAGACCTGGCCAAGGAAAGGCTGCCCCACCTGAAGCTCAGCCTCTCCTCTCCCGACCGCTGGACACGAGGCAGAGCCTGCTTGGCCTCCAGCTCTCTCTGAACTGTCTTCTCTGAGCCAAGGCCATCCTCCGCCCCCACTGTTGCCCCCAAGAACAACTATCAGGTTGACCCCAGGCAGCTCCATTCTCTTCTGCCTTCCTCCCACACATGTGGCTGGGATTCGGCCCTGGGTGCCAGAGGTCCTGTCCTCACCATCTGCCCTCGCTCCAGATATGCAGGAGAGATGGTCCCTGGACCACTGATGCCACCTGTCAGCACACATCTCCCTGTCCCCGTTCTGGTCTCCGAGCCACCTGCCAGGCTGTACACTGGCTGGTACCTCTACTAACTACCCTAGGGCAGCATTCTGGCAAATGTGTTTGGCTGAGCTGATCCTGGAGCCTGACACGGGGTGGTGAGTGTACCTGAGACCCAGGCTGAGAAGAAGTACAGCCCTGCCATGCGCCCCTTTCCCAGCATAGCCCCCTCTGCCAGCTCACCATGCACCCCGCCATTGGCAGCCACCTCACCTGGGCCCCCACCCAGCTGCGTGCTGCTCCGCTCCAAGGCCAGCCCGTTGGCCCGGGGGCTGGTGCCTGGGGCTGTAGTCGGCGTGGCTCGAGGCAGGCGCTTCCCTGGCACTTTGACTGTCGTCCGCAGCAGGTCAATCTCCTTGCCATGGATGTTCTGCATGTAATCCTAAGGCCAGGTGGACAAGACAGACAAGATTCATCAGGACAGGCCCCTTGAAGGCAGCGCCCTGTCTCTGGTACCGACCCTCCCAACTCCTAGGTCTCTCCCGCCATGCTGCTGGGTGCGAGGGAGATGGGGAAGCCCAGCACACTTCCAAGTCTGGCCGAATGCAGCTCTGGGCAGGGGCGGGTGTGGAGCTCAGCTAGGAGCCGGGCAGGGGCAGCAGAGGGTCTGGAGGCCCGGGGCTCCTTTTGGGAAGATGGCTCTGGAGGCAATGCAAAGGAGACCCAAGTGGTGAACTGAGATGAGATTTAGGGAGAGGGCCTGTACGGCCAAAGAGAGGAACGGACAGACTCCGTGGCAAGTGGACGACCGGGTTGCCCCACACTCTGGGTGACTGGTCACCAAGGACCTCAGCCCTGTTTGCAGAAGCTCCCACCACCACTTGGGGCTTCGAGAGCTTTTAAAGCCTCGAGCAGTCCTCAACAATAGACACTTGTTGAACATTTAGAGGGGAGCCTCCGATTCTTCCTGCTGCACTTAGGGATACTGAGCCAGACACCAGCGGCCATCCTACCAGCAGTAATGACAACCACTACCAGCATCACCAGTCCGTTCATGTGCCAGGCACTGGCCCACAGCTGTACGTTCCCTGTGTATCTCAGGTATTACCTCCCAGGTCTTCACAATGACTGGGGACGGTGTTACTCTATTCCGTTACAGATGACTGAGGCTTACAAATCTGCCCAAGGTCACACAAGGTCTCTGGGGAGGTTCCCAGAGAGTGAAAGCCGGTGGGTGCTTGGATCCCCACCACTCTCTCTGTTGAGGCCTTGGCCTGGCACCCCCGCACGACTCCCTGGGGAGTGGCAGCTGGGGGAGGGGGGTGCAGAGCAGAGTCCCGCCCCACTCTCTGGCTTCCTGTTTTAAACCCCACCCCGCCTGGGCCCCAGCTTTCCGGGCTGCTTCTGATTTCTCCTTTTTTTGGTTAGGGGGAGGGGAGGGAGGTAATCAGGTTTATTTATTTACTTTTTGTTTTTACGAGGAGGTACTGGGGACTTGAACCCAAGACCTCCTGCATACTAAGCATGCGCTCTACCACTCTGAGCTACACCCTACCCCCTGATTTCTCCTTCCAGACCGCTGACCCGTTTCTGTGGCCCTGGCACCAGAGCGCTCCTTGGCAGTTCCCAGCTAACATCCCTGATAAGATGTGGCAAAAACCCCTTCCCAAGAGCAGAAGCTGGGCAGGTGGTGCCAACTTAACTTTGGACGGAATTCCACTGATTAGGCTCAGGACTGGCTCCTCTCCCTCAGGAGCACCTCTGGGATGTTTTGCATCCAGAGAGCTTCCCTGAGCGGCACCACTTCAGACGCAGACTTCACGCCCTCACAGGCCCCGGCCCTCACCCTACCCACCTGGGGCATCAGGCTTCTGGTCACCCAGGCGTTCTCCTAGCTTCTCACCTCTTAGCGTCAGGGAAAAGGGACAACGTCCACTGTGAAGTGCTGCCGTTGGGGAAGGAGGGACAGGGTGGGCTCACCAGGGGCTCAGGGGCTGCCCCTCACTCTGTGAATGACCAAGATGACATCAAGTAGAAAGGGGTCCCTGGCCCTAAAGAGCCAAGAGAATGCGGGCACTTCCAGTTAGGAAGAACAAGAACAAGGAAACAGGGCACCGGCCCCTCCTGCACTTCTGTCCTTAGGCTGGAATTCACTGTGGGATGGGCCATCAGGGGGCCAGTGGGAGGACCAGCGGGAGGACTGTGGGGAGGAAGGGGCTCCACTGATGCTAACACGCTGGCCTCACCAGCCAACCTGGCTCTGGGGAGGCCTGGTGTCACCCTTTATTCTCCAAGCGGCGCTGACACCTTCATAGGCAGATGGCCTTTCCGAAGGACCGGAAGGGCCTAGCCTGCCCTGCAGCTTTGGGCTGCGTCCCCACCCTGCTGCCATCATGTCATCCTGCGTGAGGGGCGGTGCCAGGTGCCTGGCCGCAGGCACATCGGGTTCCAAGGGAGTTTGCCCCACGTCTCAGAACCACGAAATGACATCCCTGAGAAGTCAGCGAGCACAGGCTCCAGCCACGGGAGGACCCCTCCGACACCTCTCACCCCGACTGCTGAGCACCGCCAGAGCTCCGTGCCCACTCTGAGCCCCTTTCCCGCCCCCAGGGCCCCTCTATCCGGCTCTCCTATAGCGAACTCAGCCCACCTGCCCAGTTGCTGCTGCTGGCCCCGTCTCACTTTCAGCCCAGCACCCACTGTGTGTCTCCAATGTCGTGGCCCTCCTCACCCCAGGCCCCAGCATCCCACCGACTCGGCTTCTGCACAAACCCATCCATGGTCCCTGCACATGATCACATCTTGGATTGGCTGCTCCAGACAACTGTCAACAGCTGGCCGGGCCGAAGGCACAGCTGCAGTCCCTTTCCTCAGGGAGGGGCCTGGGCTGCTCTAGTTCACAAGGAGGTCACAGCAGCTGCAACAGTTTTCAGGCCCCACTGCAGCCCTGGGACGCCCAGGCTGCGTCACGGGGTGGAGCAGCTGACCCTGGGCCAAGGAGAAGAACTGCCCAGAGGAACTCTGATCAGGGCCAAGGAGCCGGAAACCAACGTCAAGGGAAAGGAGCAGCCCCCTCAGCCCCTCTGACCGCCCCGGACAGGCCCTCAGGCGGCAGCAGGCCAGCACCCAGGGCTCTCGGCCCGCGCCCTGGGCTGGGCCGGCTCCAGGGCTCAGCTGGGAGGTGGAGCCTGGCCCCGAGGACACTGTGGTGAGGAGCTCAAGTAGCAGCGGCAGAAGGGACAGGGACGTCAGGGGCAGAGCAACAGCGTTTCCCTCCGTCAGCAGAACGGGGAGCTCGGCGGTGGTGGTGGCGGCTCAGGAGAGCGGTCACCACGGCTGCCTTTATTACCCACCATCAAACAGCAATTTCTTCCCCAGCCTCCTCGCTAATTACCCAGCCAGCGTTCTCATCTCGTTTTATTACTGGAATTAACAACGAGTTCAGAGCGTGGAAAGCTATTAAGATGTGTGATTAAGCCACATTCAATTAGTTTCTACAAACAATTTAATTGATGTTGCAGATAGAATTAACAGAAGGTGATTGTGTGAATGGCTCCGCTGGCTGCAAAATGGGGGAGGCTGTGGCGGGCTCTCTCGGGCCAGGCAAGGATTGGGTGTGAGGCTTGAGACCTGCCCGCCAGCCCTTCCTCTGCACGCCCGTCCAGTCCCGCCAGCCCGACCGGGCTCCAAGGCCAGTGAGTCACCAGCACCGCTGCCCTCAGGTCTCAGCCAGAGCCGTCCTGGGAGGAGCCGGGTTCTGTGTGCCTCCGGAGCTACCCTCCTCCGCCGGCCCCCTGACAGGGGGGGAGCCTCCTAGGGAAGCCCAGTGGCTCTCGGGGAGGGAGGGTCCCCACTCACTGCCAGCCAACTAGGAAGCTTGATTGGGTTGGAAGGCTCGGCAGACAGAAGATGGAAGCAGTTGGGCAGGACCGCGAGTGTGAGTGCGGCCCCGGGGTGGCGGCGGCAGGAGGGAGGGAGGCAGCCTTGGCCTGGAGGGAGCTCAGAGCCCTGTTCACGGCCGCCCGGAGAGATCCTCAGCCTGGCTTCACTCGTACCTTCCCTGCAGCCAGTTTCCAATCTGATTCATGTCTCCTGAACGAGCAGAGAAACGTCTACAGGGCAGGAGGCAGGCTGCCATCTGCATGAGCTCCTGGCACCTGGCCACCCAGCGTGGGGGGAGTCGGGGAAGGACTCCGGAGCCGGAGGACGGACGATGAGGGGCCTGTAGACGGGGCAGCCACACCCACAGGAGCCGTTCACTCCACCTCCTCACCACGTCCTGTGGCCGGGAGAGCAAGAGGGGCCTGGCAGGGGCTGGCAGAGCCACTGGCCTCCTAGACTTACCTTGCAAGAAAGCAAGGACAGGCCTGGAAGCCCCTGCCGCCCAGATCCTGTCCTAGGCCCTGGGCGCACTTAAGCCACACACAGTTCACAAGGGCGAGGAGGGAAGGGATGAGGGGAGCTCAGCCACCCAGCAGGGCCAAGCATGCTCCCTCCCACCTTACCCGCCCTGACGCTAACTCTCCAGCGACTTTCTCAGCCAGCCCAGGAGGGAGGTGCTCTCGGCACGTGCAGAAAAACCCAGGTCATGCTTAGAGTCAATGTCACGGGCCAAGTTTCACCTCAGCCATTGGCTGGGTGACTGGTGATCTGACAAACCCCACTGAGCCTCTGCTCTCCAGTTTAAGTTGTGTGTAGCAACAGCATCCCCACAGGCCTTGATCTTCCCTTCCTAAACCAAAACCAAGTGCCACACCCGGCACTCTCCTCCCTGTCCCAAGACCCCGCTACCATCACTCTCCTCCTCTCTCTGGGGCATGGGACCAGCCAGGGCAGCGCAAAGCAGGAGGAACAGGTAAAGATACAGCAGAGAAGGAGGGCTGAGGCCACCGGCAAGCGGGTGGGGAAACAGAGGCCCCAGACAGGCCAGTCCCCAGCTCGCCAGGCTGGCAGTTGCCTGAACAGTGACACGGGTGTCCTGCCTGGGCTGTGGGCGCTGGGGGCAGGGAGGCGCCAGCGGGCTCTCAGCTGCAGAGCCTCTCTGCTGGGAAGCACTCTCTGTGGTGAGGAGGCTCTGCACTGGAGGACGCTCCTTACTTCCCGAGACCCTCATGCCTCGGGGCCAGTGCTCTTCCGGGAAGCTGCGCTGCCTCTCGCCTCTCATGGACTCAGCAGCAGGACCAGTGCGAGCAGGAGGCACCCAGGAGCCTCTACTAAATACCCAAGGTGCCCTGGCTGTGGCCCCTCGCCCAACCCACTGGTATCCCGGCACCAGCTCCCACCCTTGTGCTAAGGGACACCAGGAAGGAAGGTCTAACCAGCAGTGTCCCAGAGGAGTCAGGTCTGGGGAGCCCCAGGAGGGCCAGGCTGGGCTCCGGCCAGACTGGAAACAGACTGCTCACTGGCTCTTCCAGGCCAGGCCTGTGGGCTTTCTCAGCAGCCCTGGGCTATGACAGACACTGTGGACCGAGCACCTCTGGGCGGCCTCCCTGACACCTTGTACAGATTGAAAGGCAGGCGAGGGACCCTCCGAGGCAGGCCCTGGGCCTCCGGGCTGGGGGTGGGGCCGGCCCGCGCGCTGTGCTTGAGGGGCTTCTCAGGAGAACTCATTAGCCCCACAGTGGGGTGGTGACAGAGATGGATTCTGGTGACAGCTGTGTGCTGGAGCCACGCAGGGAGGGGAGGGGAGGGAAGAGGGGGGAGCTGCCACGGGGGCCACTCCGGAGTCACCACACCCCACCCCTACCCTGGCACGGGCCACCCTCCTCCAGACCCCTCTGCCCTCATGTTCCTCTTCCCAAGGGGGCCTGTCCAAGACCCCAAGCCACCCCCAGCAGCCCTGGCTTAAACTGCCCTCTGACTCACCATCATCCCAGGAGCCCAGGGGTACCCCTGTGGGGTGGCTCCCCTAGAGACAACTGTTGGCAACACTGGCACCCCCAAATGGAGCGATTCCAGGTACAGGGGCCCGACCTAGCTCTTCATATCACATCACTGGCACGTAGGGAACAGAGCCTGACTTGGCACACAGGCCAGCCCAGGGGTGACCACCCCCGGGGTCCAGCTTGCTCCAAAGGGCTCAGCAGGATGCAGAGCATCAGTGCGAGCGGTCAGCCCGGGCCAGGGTCTCCCAAGTCACCAAAGTGCAGCTCTTTCTCAAAGGAGGGTCCCTCTGAGCTAAGGTCTGCCTCCCTCTGGCCCTGGAGTCAGCACCTGTCGTGCTGTCCCGCCCCCTCTGCCCAGCCCACCACAGGCTCAGCCCCCTGGACTCACGTGCAGGCTGGGGTGGTAGGTGAGCAGCCCATTGTCACACAGTGTCACGTACTTCTTCTTCCATTCCTTGTTCAGGGACTTGCCACTCCGCTTCAGCAGGATGCCCTGAGGACAGAGGCCGGGTCAGAGACAGGCGCCAGGCCTGCATGTCACAGGCACAGGGGGAGGACTCAGTGTCATCAGGTGACAGTGTCCTCCATCCGGTCCTCCTGGATCACTGTGCTTGTGGGCATGGAGAGGCCGGACAGGACTAAAGCTGAACCAGGGAGAGCCAGCCGGACGAATGCGTCCACGGAACTCGGCTGCCCTGACCGTCCTCAGGAACAGCCTGGGGCCCACCTGTTGGGGGGCTCCTCTCCCCCAGGTTGTGGAGCCTTGTCAGCAACGGAAGGCAGGAGGTTAGATGGGCTCCCGGCAGTGATGCTCCCACCTGCGGTCTCCAGGGATAAGGGGAGACCTCAGGAAGGCCCTGGCCTCCTACCAGCTGTGGCAGCCCCAGGGCGGAGCAGCAAAGCCGCTGAGCGTCCTCAGGGCGCCCCAGCCTCCCCTCAAGGCAGGTGGTGGGAAGACTGCCCAGCCCCAGAGCCCAGCAACCAAATGTCCCGTGTGAGCTGCTGAGACGCTGACTGTGGAGGTTAGACAGGTGTTAGGATGAACGAGAGCTCCTGGAGAGCGAGGGTTTCGGTGTCTGGTTCATCGACACGCTCTCAGCGCTGCGGCAATGCCCGCAACGCAGCAGACACTCAGGAAGACACTCAGGGTGGGCAGGGGGAGCCAGCCGAGGCCGTGGGGAGGTGCTGAAAAGTAGGGGGACCCCACCTCAAAAGAGATGCTATCGTCCACACCCAAGAACAGCCTCCGCTGCCTTCCCCCGGTGACACCCCCGATGGCCCTTACCCCACCAGCTCTGGCCCTGAAACAGCAGACAGCAGAGGACAGAGCTGGGGTCAGGCCAGGACACAGGGGAGTGCCACGGACATGCACAGGTGGCAGGTTCCCTGGGACCAGCTCACCCCTCTGCGTCCCCTTCCCAAACTCAGGAGGGCTAAGAGGCACTGCTCCCCAAAGACTCCTAGACAAAACTCCCAGGGGGAGGGCCTCAAGCTAGGACAGCCCTGGCACGGTGAGAGCGGGGCACATGCTGAGCCCACCCCAGTGAGTCACAAAGCAGGAGCCCCTGGGCTGGCCTCTCCTTTGGGAGGGGAAGGGCCTGCCCTCAGACAAGCTGGAAATGGGAGTCAAGAGACTGAGCGTGAGAGAGGGTGGGGGGCACACCCGGACTCCATGACACCCTCCCCTCTAAGGGCTTCCTACCAGAAGCCCAACCCTGTAGGGATGCGCTTAGCCAACAGGTGGTTTGGGATTACTGCCTGCTCTCTCCCTGCAACAACAGGGACCAACGTGGAGGCAAGAAAGAGCCCTAAACTCCAGTCCCACTTTTCAACAGATGTTTCACATCCTTGCTACCCTCTTCCTTCCCTTATCCTCCTCCTCCAGCTCCCAAAAACAGACGCAGCTGTGGGAGGTGAGGCCACGCGGGTCTGGAGTTGGCCACCATCTGAGGACACTGCTGCTACCTGGTCCCCCCACATCCTCACGAGGACCTTCTGAAGACAAGTGGTGTGAGTGGGACCTTCACTAGGTAACAGGGTGGCTGGAACATTCCAGGAGGCAACTGGGCTCTTGATCCAGTGAAGGAGCCTTGGTGATTTGCCTCTGGGCATGGCATCCACCCTTCCTGGGCCAGGAGCCAGGGAACAGTTCAGCCACTCCCCCTGCCCTGACTGCGGACAGGACCCTGAGGGCTGAGGGCCGGACTCTGGAGAAGGCAGTACCCAGCCCATCGGCTCCCTCTCAGGAAGGGCTGCGGGGCTTCAGCAGCTGGCTCACCTGCGCCCCGTCTCACTCCCTCCTCTCCCACATTGGCCTCAGTTCTCAAACCCTTCAAACCTGAGCCCTCTCCCCCTCCTCTGTCCCTCCATCTTCACCATGTTTCCTCCTGGTCCAGCCCCGGCTCCCAGTCCAGGGAAAGGGGAGCGAGTCTCTGCTGTCCTTCTGCCACCAACTAACCCTGCACATCAAATGAGCTGTGGAACTGCCTGGTGGATGGGGAGAGCGGACTCCTGGACTCCAAGCAGGGAGTCAGGACACTGAGGAGGCCAAGGGAGGGAAGCCCCTCTCTACACAGAGCTCTTTCCCCTCCTTCACCTGGGCCCAGCCTCCGCGGACAGTGGTAATGATGCTCCTTAGCAGGGGCGTGGGAGGAGGGCCCGGGCAGTGGAGAGGAGTGGGCACAGCTGGCTGGGGACTCGACTTGTGCCCACATTCCCGCTCACCTGCCTGGCCCCGCCCACCTCGCGCCGCCACCCCCTCGCATCCGCATCCGGTGCTCCAAGGAGGGAGAGCGAGCTCCAGGAGTTACTGCTCCCTCCCTGGCCGGCGGCTGCGCACGGCAGAGCAGGAAGCAATCTGGGGCGGAATGGGAGCGGTGCGGAGGCGACAGCCCCCAGAGGACCTGTTCCCGCCACTGCCTCCCTCCCAGCTCCGCCAGCCGGCTTAATTGCGGAGTCCGGATTGATTGGGAATGCAAATGGCAACTGAAATGCAATCTCCACTCCCAGCAGGAGCAGGGGGGAGGGGGAGGAATGGAATGGGGAGACCGGGACAGGAGGGCGGGAAGGCTTCAGACCCGCCCTGGGCAGCAGGGATGGGGGTGTGGCAAGGAATGGCCACCAGGCTGGGAGAATGGACAGCAGACCGATGGGCCGTCCCAGCAGCAGGCACACACCCAAGCCCTTGTGACCTCGTGCAGCCTCGGCATGTCTCCGCCGGGCAGCACCTCAGAGTCCCGACCACATTCCTCCTACTGACGGTCCCTGCAGTTTAGGGGCCTGTGACACTCAAATGACCTGGCTGACCCCCTGCCAGACCAAAGTCCCAGGTGCAAGTTTACAGGGATTCACCCCCCACCCTGCAGACCCTCCCCTTCCCCTCCAGGCGGGGGACTCAGGGAACAGATAAATTAGCCCGGATCCCAGACAGGAAGGGGGGCGTTTGGAACTACACTTATCTCAAAGCCAGGGCGGGTGGGTGGGAGAAAGCATTTTCTTTTATTGGTTAAATGTTTGCGTGTGTGTGCGCACGTGTGTGTACTCAGAAAGCATGTGCCCAGAAGCAGGGAGTGACAGTCCCCTGCTGGAGCAGATCCACATCACCCAGCTGGGCAAGGACCCGTGAGGAGACACTCAGTCAACAGCCCCAGGGACATGCGGTCACACCAGCAACAGGTTTATGGACCAACTGTGCACCCAGACACACACGGTGATGGGGGAGGAGACTGGCCGCTGCCAGTACCCCCTCAAGCTGGGCGGGGTGACCCAACTAGAGTCCCTTGGACATCACCGCAGTGACATCTCCGAGGAGGGCTGAAGCAGACACAGAGGGCGTGGAATCACAGCATTCCCCACTCCATCCGCTGGGCCCTGAAACAGTTCCTGGGCACTCCATTCTAAACAGACCTTCACTGCGGGGTCAGAAACCCCCATCCTCAGCAAGAGAATTTTGGTCACACTGCCCATGGGCTCCAGAAGCCCTAGCCTGAAGGGCCAAACCTGACTGCAGGGCCCTGCCCAGGCCGACCCCTGGTGCTCTGGCCACACTAATCTCTGTGGTCCAAAACTGACACCATGACTCCTGGCGATAGACAAGGCATCTCAGAACAACGGCTCCCAAGAAGACGTGCGTCAAACACGGCATCCTGTGGGCACAGCACACTAACCACCAGGCTACTGCCCTGTCCTCAGGGGCACCCCAGCTAGCAGCCTCTCGCCTGAGCTCCAGGGAGACACCTCCTCACGCTACTCTCGTCCAGCTTAGCAGTTCCAGAGCCCTGCCAGCCACCACCAACTCTGCACAAACACGCCTTCCATCACTCAACGTCTTTTCCCAGCACGGGACCCACACACACCGGGAGGTCTGGGAGGATCCCACACCAGGCAGTCCAGCCCTGCCAGGCAGCGACTCAGAAAGGAGGAGAGACTCCACAGGGATGTGGCCCCTCCACTAAGCTTCCTCTTTACAAATGAACAGAGACTCAAATAGTAAGAGTGGGCCAGTGAACCCAGCCCTCAGTATGTCCTTCAGTGTGTACTCCTCAGGGTACTCTTCTGTGAACCTTCCCTCTTTCCTGGGAGGAGGGGAGGTAGGACAGAGAAGCCAACCCTCCTCGGTGGTGGCCCAGCTCCAGCACCACCACCAGTGAGAGCAGCTGAGGCCGACAGGCGGCTCTCTGCTGCCCCCCAGTGGTGGCAAGGAGGAACCAGCAGAGCCCAGGCCCAGCACTGCCTGGCCACCCTCCCCGGGAGGTTAGTTCTTAGCAGAACTCTCCTAGTTAAGGATTCAGATCTGGCAGGGGCAGGGCACACAGCCTCTTGGCCCACCTTTCAGAGGCCCGGAAAAGAACCATCCTCTGGCATTTCCTGGGCCTCATCTCAGCTCCTCTCCAGCCCCAGGGGAAAGGAGTGCTGACCTGTTTGATGGGGATGGCCCGGCCACTCCCGATACTGTCCACCTTGCACTCAGCGGCCTTCTTCTCCCGGTCCAAGTCGGCACCCTTTCGAGACTGGAAGAGAAAAGAAGAGGCATGTTAAAAGGGCCCAGGGTCTGTGGGGTCGGCTGCCCACCTGGAATCCCCAGCCAGCCCTCCCATCCTCCCTCCTCCTGGGCAGGCCCTAGCAGTGGGGCAGGGCCGGGGCGGCGGGACCGGGAAGGAACTGAGACCACGAGTATTCCAACGGGTTTATTCTTACACACGGCACCATACAGAGCAGCACAGGTCACTGGGCCGGGCCCGCCCCTTACAAAAGAGCAAGGACACGAGATACTGGAGATACCGAGGGCGTGAGGAGCGCACAGCCCAGGGGGCTGGGGCGTAAGAGAAGGGAAGGGGCGAGGAGAGGTGGACAGTGTGGCTGAGGGACGGCCAGGAGCACAGGGCACGACAACCGGGGAGAGCAAAGTCCAGAAGCGAGCGGGCAGCGGCCCGTCTGCGGCACAGACACCACACGGTACGTTGCGCCGAGCACATCGGCGTGGCCCGAGGGGCACAGTGGATGGAGAGAGAGAGGAGAGAGGCCAGAAGAGGCCCTGTGCCCCTGCCAGGCTCCTGGGGCAGAGCCCGCCCGGAGGCCGATCCTAGGAAATGGGAGGCCAAGAGAGGGGAAGGCAAGCGCGGCGTGGCTGCGGCGTCCGGAGCGGAGCAGGAACGGCAGAAGTCCATGCAGGAAGGAGCAGAGGAGGGGAGGGCGGGGAAGCTCCCCCAGGAGCAGCTGGGCTGGGGGGGCGCTCGGACGCCCCGCCCTCTGGCCTCGTCGCGCTGGCCGGCGCCGGGTGTGGGCCGAGCTCCACACTCTCCACAGCGACGACGGACGGCCGTCCGGCCGGCCGACGCGCGCGA